GACAAAGGGAGAAACCAATTTGGGGAAGCAGCTAAGGAAAGGCTGCTACCATTGTAATCATGAACTGTGAGGGTAAGCGCTGGTGGGCCGGTCACCTATCGGGAGTCCTGGTGAAGGAGAAGCCTAGTGGTCAGCTGGGCAGAGAGGGGCCCCGTGCGGCAGCGGGCACAGGCTGAGGAGCAGCCATAGGCAATGCTGTGGGAAGCAGTGTAGGGCAGGACAAACTCTATATTGAAGGACCAGGTCTTCCCTCATTTAAAAAAAAAAAATTATTACTGAGAGAAGAGAGAGGGATAGAGTTAGAAACATCAATGAGGGAGAAACATCAATCAGCTAGCTGCCTCCTGCACACCCCCACCTGGGGATGTGCCCACAATCAAGGTACATGCCCTTGACTGGAATCAAACCTGGGACCCTTCAGTCCACAAGCCACGCTCTATCCTCCAAACTGGTCAGGGCTCTTCCCTCATTCCTATCCTGTTTGAACCTTCCGGCGTCAATTGCTGGCAGCGAGGTCGCTGCCTGAGCCAGGAGTGTCCACCCCGGTAAGTATACACCTCACCCGTATTCCTCTACTTGTTCTGTTGGCCCCACAGCCAAGTCCAGTTGCTATGAATGTTTCTAAACGCCCACCTCCCTTCCTGCACCCAACCCTTCCCTGGGGAACCTCAGTGGGGACCTGCCCCTGCCCCACCATGCTTTGCCTAGCCCTGCAGGGTCTGGGCAAGGGACGCGGATGGCTCTGACAAGCTTGGACTTGGAAGCCGACCTATTCTGCGCCTGGCATTGTGCGATCCTCCAGGAAGATAACTGCAGTTGATTGAACGCAAGCGTTGCAGACAGAGGTCAGGATTGCGCAAGGGGCGGCCAGGGGGCGGCGCACAGCACAGCGTGGCGTCCTTGGCTATCCCGCCAGCCCTCCTGCTCCAGCTCCAGTCCGCAAAATGAGCGGAACAAAAGCAAAGAAGCGCATCGAGAGTCTCACAGGGGCAGGGTGGCGGCCAAGGGCAGCGGGAGCCCAGGATGCAGCCCTGACTGCTAGCGAGCAAAGCCTGCAGCAGGCAGTTCAGGCGGAAGCCCAGTAGAATTCTACGGGAGCCAGCAGGGCAGCTGCGCAGCGACGCCACTGGCGGCGGGTGGTACTGCAGCGCACTCCGCTGCCGGGCGGGGCCAACGTCCTGGAGGCCTCCCGGGTTCTACTGGCTACGCATGCCCAGTGCGCTTCTCTCAAAGCTCCCGTCCTGCAGGCGGTGGGTGGTGAAGCAAGGCGTGAGCAACCCGGAGCTCCCGGGAAGGAGGCAGGGCGGCTGGGACCTGAGCCTAGCCGCAGGCGCTGTCTGTCCTCTGCCCGCACAGCCCGCATGGAAGGTTGCTCCACTTACTCCTTTTTACTGTAGAGAAAAGCGTCTCAGCGACTGGCAGTAACTTGCCTGAGGTCACACAGCTGATACAGATGAGTAATGGGAGGAGAATTGGACCCTGCAGCCTCCACTCCCTGCGCCCGAGGACTGGGGGAAGAACTGAACTGAGCTCGGGGACCTGGGCAAAGAGGCATTTATCCCTCTTTCACAGAGGAGCAAACCAAGGTCAAAGAAGTTACTGGACATGTGTGAAATGTCTTAATAACAAAAAAGCCACCTGCGTGGATGTCCTGTTTATGCATTGTCTTTGAAGCGCCTGAGATTTGCCTGTCCTTGCCTCCCCCCCCCCACTGTAGCCCAAAGTTCCCAATCCCACTGTTAGAGACCTGGCCCTTTCCCCAGGCACAGTGGGCTCAGTGCCTCCCTCTGAGCCACCCTCCTCACTGGCAGAACGGAGGAAAGGACTCCTGAAGGTCCAAGTTTATAAGTGGCTGGGATGATCCAAATCCACCCTGCACTTCCTGCTCTTCCTCAAACATACCCCGTGTGTGCCCACCTCAGGGCCTTGGCACATGCTCTCCCCCCCTTTATGTAAGCTCCTCCGCCTTCCTGCACTGGCTCCTTCTCCTGACTTAGAGCTCATCCTCTAACCCTCACTTCACGAAATCATGCAGATCCTTCCTCTTGCTTTGTACCCCCTTTCTCATCACACCCCCTGGTTTTATTTCCTCCCCAGCCGCATCTAGCACTCCCCACTTATTTATCCCATTCATTGTTGAGCTCTACAACCCCCTGCTAAAGGAATGCTCCCAACAAGCAGAGCCTTATCTTGCTCTTCATCCTATCCTCAGCATCTGACCTGTGCCTGCAAGGAACAGGCATTCAAATGTTTGTTGAATGAATAAGTGAGCAAACATCAGCTCCCAGCCATTACACTCAGGGGCTGGTTTTGTCCATATGCCTTTCCTCTTCTTTCCTGTATGTGAGACAATCATCTCTGGGAGTTTCTTAGGGTTGCTGTAACAAACACACTTATTGTCTTACAGTTCTAGAGGCTAGGAGTCTGAGATTAAGGTGCAGCAGATCCTTGCTCTCTCCAAAACCTAAAGGGGAGTAGCTTTTCTTGCCTTTCCCTGCTTCCCCGGCCCCCGGCGTTCCTGGCTTGTGGCAGCATCCCTCCAATGTTGACCTTGGTCTTCATGTGGCCCCTTTCTCCCTGGGTCTCCGCGTCTTCACATAGCAGTCTCCTCTCTGTTTCTCCTTGAAGGATGCCAGTCATGGGATGAGGGCTCACCTGATGACCTCGTCTACACTATGTCTGCAAAGACCCTCCGTTCCAAATACACGCACATTCACAGGCGTGAGTTTGCACCCGCACTCACTGGCAATTTGGGGCTCTCACGTATCTCTTTTTAAAAAAATATATTTTATTGATTTTTCACAGAGAGGAAGGGAAAGGGATAGAGAGCTAGAAACATCGATGAGAGAGAGTCATCGATCAGCTGCCTCCTGCACACATCCCCAGTGGGGATATGCCCGCAACCAAGGCACATGCCCTTGACCGGAATCGAACCCGGGACCCTTCAGTCCGCAGGCCGACGCTCTATATCTCTTGAAGGGGATAGAATTCAACTTGTAACAGAAGTGATCCATGGAACTCTAGGAAGAGTTCAAACTAAGCTGGAAGATGGGGAAAGATGGCTGAGGGCTGTCCTACGTGTGGGACAGGCGCACCGGGCGAATGCCCAGAAATAATATCGATATTTCTGAGTGGACTCTCCCTGCGTCGGGACTCTAAGGGAACAACCCTTCACCTTTCCATCCCTGCTTGGCTCTTTTGCAGGCTGTAAACTCCTCATGTCCCAACCCTTCATGAAGTGATATTTTTGCGACTGAATTTGGGCTCCTGAGGAATATTAAAAAAAAAAGAACAGCTACCAGGCACTTGTTATGCGCCGGCCACTGTGTGAGCCCTGAGCTGCTCCCTCCTGTGTAACGCTGAGGACTCACTGTGCCATCGGTCCTGTTAGTCACTGACCTTCACATCAGTGCCAGGTTCAGACAGGCTCTGGAGCAGGCGCACAGCTTCGTGCCGGTTGGGGTTTATGGCCAGTCCTGCCTGCAAGGAAACTTCCAGGAAACCCAGAGGGACTTCCAGTCACTCTACCTGACTCAAAAGGGCCCAGCTATCGTCAATGCATGGGTGCAAGTTAGAAGGAGATGAAACAAATTAGACTAAAATTTAGTAGTAGTAGAATCTCTACTACTCAGACTTGGGATTCTCCAATACTTAAAATTAACAGTTTTCCCTGATTTGGCTCCTTTCGTTGCTAAAAATCGCCAGGCAGTGGCCAGATTAGATTCTCAGTACCCTCCCCAAGCTCACCTCACTGTTAAGGGAGACTATGCTCCAGTCCTCTCTCTCTGCGGTCAGCTCTCGGTTCATAAATGTGCGTTCTGAGAAGACATCTACGAGCTGCCCGGAGCCCTCGGAGACAGAGCGCCCTTCGCAGCAGAGGGCGAGGATGGCAGCACAGAGCCGATGGTGTTGATGCGCTCCGGGTTGGTCTTCTCTCCGTCTGGCTCTTAATCATTGAGTCTGGGCAGCTTGATGCTGCTGCTGATCCTGGGGCCGGCATTGTGTCCAGAACTCCATGTTGAAGATGGCCCCAGCCTGGCCTCTCCTCCTGCTTTTGGCTCATGCCCAGGCCTGACCTCTGGCCTCCACAGGAAGCTTCAGAAGCCAGCCTTGCTCCTTCTGGAGCTTTGAAACAGACTTCTGGAGCTGTGATCCCTGGAGAAGCTGTGCTCCCCAGTGACGCTGCTTCCCCGCTGCAAGATGCCCTGATGAGGGAGCAATTTTATTTGATAGGGAAACGCATCTGTGTCCCTGATTGTGGGGACGCTAGTGACATGGCCCTACTCTTTCCTCTGGGAAGGTCTATTGTAAACACTTCTTCCTTCGGAAGGACAGAAGTGAGCGGGTGCGGGGTGGGGGTGCAGGGAGGGTCCCAGAAATGGTGGAGTCGAAGAAGCAGGAAAAACCACTGGCATCGCATGAGCTCACTCCATCTGCAGACGCTCCTACAACTCTTGGCTTGTCTGACCCTCACACCCACCGACATAACCGACGAGGCCTCGGAGCTGAGGCTCAGAGAGGCCAGGGGACTTCCTTGTCCAAGGCTCCGGAGCCAGGGCATGGCGGAGCTGGGATTCGAACCCGGCCTTCTAGACCGTCTCGGGCACTGCTGCTCTCAAGAGAGGACTCGGAGAATGAAAACGAATGAAGACACGACTCCTTTTCTCCCGTCGCTCGTAGGCTGCTGCTGGACTTCAAGCTCCACTGGGACAGGGGTGGCCCCAGCAGGGCCCAGAGAGGGTGCCCACGCGTGGGCACGAGGCCCAGGCTGGAAGCAAGCATCCTTGCTGGCACGGAGGCGCCTGGTGCTGCTGGGCATACAGGCTGAGCCTGCACCCTGCACCCTGCACCCTGCACGTGTGCACGCCCCTGGCTGAGCTCGCAGCCCTCCCCGGGCTGTGGGGGCTTCGGCTTTGCTGGGGCTCTGCTCCGGCTCTGCATGGCGGGGACCAGCCTCGCTCCGTTAGGTAGGGCCGGGCGGCAGTGCGCAGGCGCGGCGCGGCTCCGCCCCCGGGTAGGGACCTACACGGCGGGACCAGGACCCGGCGCGGCGCCGCGGCGGCGGCTCGGCCTGGCGGGGACCGGGCGCCCCTCCTCGCACCGGGACCGGCTGGTGAGTGGCCGGGCAGGAGGGCCGGGGCTCCGGGTTCGAATGCGCGGGGCGGGCGGGGGCTAGGCGAGGAGGGGGACGGGACGGCGGCGGGGGCCGCCGAGTCGGGGCGGGACTGGCGTGCGGCCGGCTCCTGCGCGCCCACCCGGCTCCGGGCTCCGCACGGCGGGTGCAGGCTGGTGCGGGGCGGGCGGCGGGCTGGGTACCAGGGGCCATTGGTGCAAAGCGGGGCCGGAGGGCGGGGTAGGGAGCGGGACGGGGTGCGGGGAGCGAGTGCACGGACCCCAGTGCCCCGTGGCGTGGAGTGCGTGCGGCGCCCCTGCCTGCCCGCCTTTGTGCCCACGGGGCCCGCGGGGTCACCCAGGGGCGCCCCGGGCCTGGGTCCGGGTGCGGGCGCCGCCGGGGCCTCCGAGGCCGCCCCTGCGTTTTAAATGATGCATCTCCCGGGAGCGCCTACCGGTCCTGCAGCAGGAAGTGTCGTCAGGAGGCCATTTTTAAAGCCTCCTTCGGCCTGGAGGTGAGCTCTGACGTGTGCTGGCTCCCAGCAGTCCGGGGCGCCCCTCCGTTCGTTCCTCCAGGAGGCCCGGCCGTCTGGCCCCGGAGACCCCGGGGCAGCCCCCTTGTGCCTGTTTGCTGTGGACTCGCCTCGAACCCTGCACCATCGGCGTGAGCGTGCCAACAATAAACTCGAAAACCGACTGGCATTGTCTTTTCTTGGGTGTTTTAGGGTGTGCCCAGGGGCTGGACGGGCTTCTGTTTGGGGGGACCTGGGCATCTTTTGCTGGGGAAGGAGGAGAGAGGATTCCCCCACCCCACTCCGGCCTGCCTGTTTATCTCGGGGTTGCTGGGCAGTTTCAGGCCAGGGAAAAACGACACAGGATGCCAAAAGAACGAGCATTTCTTCACGGGAAGGGGAAAGCAAAGGAGAGAGTGCAACACACCTCAGTTCCTCGCGTATGTCGGGCGTTTAACATACCCCCGACTTCCAAAAACGGGGGAGCGGCCCACCTTTATGAAACGAAATGCGAAATGCTGAGCGTTGTTTAAACACGTCTAAACGGCTAAACTGTGATGGGTTCGAACCCTTCCACATGGAAGGAGAGTCACCTACAATCAGACAGCTTGCTCTCCAGGAAGGGAAGGACTTGCCTGCAGAGGAGCAGACACTGGAGTGTGTGTCTGTCTGAGTCACAGGCCCAGCCCAGCCCCGCCCAGCCCCGCACCCGCCATGGGCTCTTTAGAAACCAGCGTCCTAGAGGCTCTGTAAGTGCTGGGAGGCAAGTAGAATGTTCGGCTTTTTAAACCGCACAAGATCAATGTTTTCTGGGATACAGTTTTTTAAATTTACTTTTTACTTGGGCTCTAAAGAGAAGGAACACGTGTGTGTGTCCAGTCTTGTGCTGATGGCATTTTGAAAACGGACGGAGGAGGAGGTGGAGGAGGGCAGGATTCTGTCTGTTAGGCCTCCTCCCTGGTGCGCGATGCCAGACAAATGTCAATTTTAAAAACCCAGCAGTAGCCACGAAAAAATAAAAACATGTCTGCTTGCTCTTAAGTAAGGGGATCTGGGCCAGCTTTTGTGCAAGAGGAAGAAAAAAGAACATTTTCATGGTCACCATAAAGTCTGGCATTTCTTTCTTTCATTCACTCATTCACTCATTCATTCATTCATCCGGCATGAATTAGGTGTAACGGCCACGCCCTCTGCTGTTGACTATGCCGAACAAGGTCCGTCTTTGCCAGGGAGGTTTTCCGGTCTCAGTTGTTCTCTAGCTGCATGGCCTACAAGGCATTTTCTTTGTTCACAGACCCAGCCAACTGCCATTTCCCGGGTCCGCCCTCCAGCTGGAAGTGGCTAGAGGTCATTTAAACCAGACACTCGTCCTGGGGTGAGGGCGGGGAGGCAGCAGCATCACCTGGGAAGAATTTTAAACCACAGGCGTGAGCCCACCCCAGGCAAAGGGTCATCGGAGCCCTGGGAGGCCTCATTGTCCACCTTAAGCTCCCTCTGCGACTTTGCCCAACACCCCTACTTGAGAAGCACTGTGGGGGCTCACCCCCCTTTTAATGGAAGAAAAGGATCTGGAGAAACCAAGGCTGCACAGGCCTGGGACTTCAACCCAAGTGTCTGGCTTCTGTTGCAGGGCTGTTCGTGCAGGGCTGGCTGCCCCGGGGTCTGAGTGTAGACACCCGTGCCAGGGCCCAGAGGACAGACCGGATGGGCCTGGGTGCCCGAGAAGACAAGCCAGAGCCGCTGCCACCTGCCCAGAAGTCGGAACCGTGGCCAGCACAGCAGATGCTGTGACCTCGGCGCACAGCTCACCCAGCGGGTAGCACGAAGCAAAGGATTCCCATTAGTCACCAGCTCCTTGGCCTTACAAAAGCCACACAGCTTCTCCCGGCCCGTTCTCTTCCCGGAAGCAGGTAATGGAAGGTGTGCTTTGAGGAGGGAATGTATGAATCTGCTCCTGCAGGCACCCTTCTGCATGGCGTAGGCCAAGGCGCTCTGAGGTTGACCGATGCAGCCGGCCACGGAGCGTCCGGATCCGATCACAGGGGGAGCTTTTACTCCTCTCCACCTCCTGTAAAAGGCAGCAGCCCCTGGCAGGTGTGGGGGTCAGGCAGTCCCGGTGCAAGCTCGGTGGGCTCACTGTGGCGGGAACATTGAACTTTCCGAGAGTCTGTTAAGTGGTGACTGTCATTCCGTACTTCACAGAGAGCCTCAGTGATGATATCTCCAAGGTCACGTGGCTAAGCAAGGTATGACCCAGAGTCCACTTGCCTAATCACCTCGTTGCAGTCTGAGGCAGAGGCCTCGTCCTGCCTCCAGGCACCCGCAGGCGGGTCCGGCGTCTGAAAGGCTGCGTAGGATGTTGGCATTCTTGCCGCTCCTGCACGCACCCTGCACCTGTCCTGCCAGGTGCTTGTTCTCAGCCTCGGCTGCCCCCCAGAACCACACCGGGGGCCCAGGCAGCACTCTTTTGGAGCCTCCCAGGTAATTTGGCACACAGTAGGGCGACCGACCATCCCAGGGACCTCTTTAAAAAATGAGTTTCACCTCCTGCACCTATTCTGAAACGTGGTCACCCTGAAGCAGGCAAGGTTTAAGCATCACTGATTTTCGGGGAGGTATTTCTACTGTGTTTGATTATACCTTTTATTAAACTCTTCATTTCCTTCCATGAAATAATTTTTCCTAAAGGCCAAAAAAAAAAAAAAAAAAAATGACAAATACAAAACTGTTATTTCCTTAGAGACCCGAAGTCACTAGTTATATAATAACAGAATTTTGTACTATTCCTTGTAAAGACTACCTTGTTTTATATCTTGTTTTTTTTTTTTTTTTTTAATATATTTTATTGATTTTTTACAGAGAGGAGGAGAGAGGGATAGAGAGCTAGAAACACCGATGAGAGAGAATCATCGATCGGTTGCCTCCTGCACACCCCCCACCGGGGATGTGCCCACAACCAATGTACATGCCCTTGACCGGAATTGAACCTGGGACCTTTCAGTCTGCACACCAATGCTCTACCACTGAGCCAAACCGGCTTCGGCTATATCTTGTATTTTTTAATTCCATCAAGAGCATACTTGCTTCTTAACGTTGATGTTTCCACATATAGGACTCTAAGTTGTAGACTTGAACTCTAGCATTATTCATAGCCTTTTTTTTTTTCTAAAGGTTTCCTGTTAAACTTTCTTTTTAAACTATGAAAACTGTTGTCTGAAGTAGTCTCAGCTGATGTGCTCAACGGCATCAGGTCCAACCCAAAGTAACTCTTTGATAGGCGGTGGGGCTGGGGTGGACCCTCACCCCCTGCTATGGACCTGCCTCCAGACCTCTCTCTCTTCAGCCCCTTTGTTCAGCAGAGTTTCTGCTTCCCTGCTGAGCACTGGACTCTTCTGTGTTCCACGGAGTCTTACAAAAATGTAGATTTCTTTGACAAGACATGGCAGTCAGCAGGTCACCTGCTGTTTGCATAGACACCTGTCCCTCACACCAGCCATGTAAATCAGGCATTCTTTATTCCCAGCTTACACACGAGAAAACTCGGGCTCAGAGGGCATCGCACAGCTATGGAGTCAGAGCCTAGGTTTTGGCCCTTGTTCCTGCCATCCAGGGTCGTTGCTGTCCCTGCTGTTAGTGACACTCGCACCTGGATGGCGGAGGCATCTGAACGGACTCTCTTGTCCGGCCTCCAGCCTCTCGCCCGGTTCTGGGCCCCAAGCAAACCGCACGGTTTCAGAAGGAAAGCTAGGGTCTCCATGGGTGATATTAGTCAGCAGCATTTGGAGAAAAAATTGTCATCAGAACAGCCACCAATTTGTAGTTCAGTCATTTCTAAGTGTAAAGAAAGTTTGGCAAAATGACCGATAACCTAATTGCTGTATTTCCTTCTTTAGATCCATTTACCATTCAGTTCAATTCTGATTCTTTCTAATGATCTGAAGATTTTGCTGAGTGAGGCAAGTTTCTCCCTGAACGCCATCCTACTAGCGCAGTATTATGTTTACACACTTAACGTTGGATCCCTAACGTTGGGACCCCTCCACCCCCTTCCCCAGTCAGGGATTAGCTGTCTACATGCTCTGGACACTGGGGTAGGACGGCCGTCACCAACCAGTGGTGGTCGGGGGTCTGAAAGGTTGGCAGCCGCTGGGGTAGGGAGGTGTACAGACAGAGCAGCAGGCAGAGGAGCAGGCGCAGTTTGTGAGCACCTCTGCCACCAGGCTGAGTGCTTTGCCTACATTACCTAGTTGGTTTCTCTTAATTACCCTTGAAGTTTGGTGCCCTCAAGGCCCGTTTCCTTGCCTGGCGATGCAGAGAGAAGTCACCTGCCTGAGGACCCAGCACAGGGACAGATTCGGGGCGGGGCCTGCAGACCTGCACCTCCATTCCCGTTGCTCTCCATGGGCACACAGCTGCTGCCCCGCCCCCGGGACAGGGCGGCAGGAGCCACAGTGAAAGGCTTTCTGGAAAGAGCTTCCTAAATTTGCTTCTCTGTCCAAAAAGGAAGCAGTTGGCCGACTAATATGGATTCTGGTGGGCATCTCTCTTGAGCAGAAATGTCTATGATACAATTGACGCAATTGGCCAGCTGCTTTTCTTACTGTTCACGTGACCATCCCGCATGGAAACCCAGTTGTTGCTCCAGGGACATGGTGCACAGCTCACGGGCTTGGAGAAGACAAGGCAGTTTAGGAACTGACTTCTGTACAAGTTGTGGTTAGAGCGCCTTCTCTGCAGTGCATCTAAGCACCTGTCTGCCTCTGCCAGGCAGGCTGGAGGGGTGGTTTTGCCCCAGAGGTAAATTCTCTCTTAGGCTGTACAACCAAGCAAATGGCATTAACATTATAAAGTGAGGTTCAGTGTATGTTCTGGAGAGAACCATTGCCTGACAGCTAAGAAGCCTGTTAGCCCCCTTGACAGGTTTTGTGATAGGCATAATTTCATAAAAAGTGGAAAATAATATGTTTAAATGTATTTATTGATTTCAGAGAGGAAGGGAGAGGGAGAGATAGAAACATCAAGGATGAGAAAATCATTGATTGGCTGCCTCCTGCACGCCCCCTACTGGGGACGGAGCCCGCAACCTGGGCATGTGCCCTTGTCCGGAATCGAACTTGGGACCCTTCAGTTCGCACGCCGACGCTCTACCCACTGAGCCAAACTGGCTAGGGCTGGAAAATATTTTTTTTAAATATATTTTATTGATTTTTTACAGAGAGGAAGAGAGAGCTAGAAACGTGGATGAGAGAGAAACATCGACCAGCTGCCTCTTGCACACCCCTTACCGGGGATGTGCCTGCAACCAACGTACATGCCCCTGACCGGAATCGAACTTGGGACCTTTTAGTCCGCAGACCGACGCCCTACCACTGAGCCAAACTGGCTAGGGCTGGAAAATATTTTAAACAGTGTCTGATGTGTGAGGAACTTATCTAAGCCCTTGTAGTCACATGAGCACAGTTCCTTCTCGCAGCGGCCCAGTGGTGGAGGTGCTATTACTGTCTGACCAGGAATGGACAGTCCGCCCAGGCCACCTAGGAACCCGCCGGGCTGGGCGTCAAAGCCTGTAATCTCATTCCAGAATCTGTAGCTTCAAGAGCTGTCTCGCTAGTATTCCTCTAAATCTGAATATTTGAGGTTTGCACTATTGAGAAGCCAAATGCTTCCTTCTCAATAAGGAATGTTATGTACAAAGTACAGTGCTGTATGGTTTTTACAGCCCCCAGTGTCACTGAAGCGGTTCTTACAGTCAGTATCGGTTTTTCACGTGTCCCCACAATAAACCTCTCAGAAACCAGGACAAGGGAGGTCAAAAGGAAGACCCACCAGCAGCAGGTGCTGTGCGTGGGCCTTTCCAGGAAGGGCGGGGCCGTGGGGGGCAGTGCGTGGGTGGCACCGTGTGGCAATGCCACGTTAAAAAGCTCGCTCTGTGCTGTTCAGAAACAGGCAACGTACTCGTAATGTAAAAACCATCTTACTGTGTCAAAAGCTACTTAACACTGGCCTACCTGGTCTGGCTCAGTGGCTAGAGCATTGGCCCCTTGGACTGAAGGGCCCCAGGTTCTATTCCTGTCAAGGACATGCAACTCGGTTGCAGGTTCCCTGGCCCGGGGTGCGTGCAGGAGGCAACCAGTCAGTGTGTCTCTCTCACATCGATGTTTCTATCTGTCTCTTCCTTCCACTCTCTCTAAAATTCAATGGAAAAACACCCTCGGGTGAGGATTAATAACAAAAGAAGTTAATGCTAAGTAGTGTCCATGTTTTGAGAGCCTCCCTAAATTCTCTAAAAGGAGGTTTGTGGTAGTCTGGAAGGCAGGTGGACACGGACAGCGAGGGCGACGTCATTTATTGGTGCCTTCTCCGTACCAGGCACATGGCCCTTTAGCTGCCGGGTTCAGTGCAGTCCTCGGCCGGCTGGGCAGTGAGTTGCCAGGAGGACCAGCCTAGAGTGCTTGCCCGGGAACCCGATAGAGCAGATTTCTGGAGGGGAGGGCGGGGGAGCCCGTTGCCCAGGTGCGCCTGCTGCTGTCCACGAGGAAGTAGCACGGTCAAAGCCTTCCTGTTCTCCCACTTGGCCCCTTCATCTCTGACCAGGGTATTCCAGCCGAGGGCCTCCCCCCTGGACTGGCCACACACGTGGCGAAGGCCACAGAGCACGTCTGCTTGCTGTCAGAGAGCCTGACTCTTCCTCCCGGGCCTAAGGGAAATGCCGGGGGAAACATTGCGTTGCTTGGAGAATGCTGTCATTACCACGCCGACAGCTTCTCCCCTAAACTGGACTTGACAGTCGTAGCCTGAGCTTCCTATGAGCACCTGCTCCTGGGGTTTTTATTTAAAATCACTGCTGGGACGGTTTTGCATAATCACCTCCAAAGGGACCCTGCGTTCCCCCAGCTCTGCGGTGGATCTGCTCATTCTCTGGGTCCTTCCTCTGTCAGCACCTGCTCACTCCTCACTAATGTACATGCTCTCACCGTCCAGTGTCGTGAGGTGGCCGGTCTTTAGTGTTAGGAAGCATGACACCCCCGCGTTTTAAAAGGACCCGAGAGAAAAGGGCAAAACTGTCTTCCGTGGCTTTTGAAGCCTCTTGGTGGCTGAGAAACAGAAAAGGTGCCAACAATCCCGGTTTGGATGAGGCTTCAAACAGGCACCTCGTTACACGATTTCTTTGGGAACTTCTTAGGGTCAGCGTGCCAGGGGTTCGGCTGGAAGAGTTGGGGAGCCAGCTGTGCCAGGCGGGCCTGTTCGTTTCCTCTCCTTTCTGCTGTTTGTCTCTCTCCCTGTCCCTTCTCTGGAAAGAGCAGGGTCCTGAGGCTGGCAGATGAGAAGCGGGCAGATATTTGAGCAGGGCTGGGAACTAAGGGCTGGGTGAGAGGAGGTGTGCGGGGGCACAGCCAGGCTAGGAAGGGAACTAAGTCTTTGGCAGCATCAGCATCGGGATAGAGGGAAGTTACCAGGAGGCTGGATTCGGTCTCATTTAAGGGTCAGTTCTTGACGACGAGAACTACGCGATGATAAAAGTAGCCGCGTGGACAGGAAAGGAGTTTCGTGGCAACCATCAGAGCATCAAGCTCATGGTCAGCTGGTAAAAGTGTTTTGAAGCTGGGTATCCAGCGCTGATGTCCTCATGACGCTTTTCCAGGCTGCTTGTGCAGGCAGGTGCTAGGCCAGATCCAAGCATGCTGGACTTGTTTTCTCTCGACCCTGCAGAGCCTCTCAGACCTTGTATGGCTCCTGGCCTGTCAGTGCCCCGAAGGAGGAGGCCAATCAGAGTGGACACTGCGTGCCCTGAGTGCCGCCCACTCAGAGGGGTGTCCCACACGAGAGGAGCCAGACTTAAGCAGTTCTCCCACGGAGACCTGTCCTCAATTCCAGTTGCCACTGAAAAAATTGAAGCCCAAAGATTTAAGTAGCTTTTTTTTTTTTAAGGTCATAAAAGAAAGGCTTTTAACAGACCCCAAAAACAGACTGGTTTTTGCTCAGTCCTAATTGTGAATTCAGGGGAGGGGTTGATATTTAAACATAACCAACTTTTTATATAAAAGTGGCCACTGTGTTACGTGCACGGCTGCAGCCTGATCCCCCTCCGTGTCCCAGCTGGGCCCTCTGCCCCATCCCTTCGCCCTCAGCAGCCGGAGGCCGGAGCTGAAGTTGCCGTATAGACCATGTCTCATCCCCACTCTGCTCTCTCCCTGGCTCTTTGCCATGCGAGGGAGAGGCCACATCCTCTGAGGCTACTGTAGACCCTGCCTTGGCTAGTCTCCCACTCCCCTGTTTGCCTCCAGTTTCCCTTCGCTTCCCCTCCCGCTGCTTCCCTCCCTGCTCAGCCCCTTCCTGTCCCTCACGTGCTCCAGGCCCACTTCCCACAGACCACTGCTTCTCTGCTCGAGATGCCTTCTCCTCAACAGCCCCATGCTCACTGCCTGGCTGCGCTGGGGTCTCTGCTCAGAAGCCAGCTTATTGGGGGTGGGGAGAGGCTTTGCCAACTCTTCTCCTCCACGCCAGCCCTGAACTTTGTCACAGAGTCACTCCCTCTCCCTCTGCCCGCCTTTATGGTATTTTGTTCCCAATTACTGTCTGACAGGTATACAACCTGCCTCCCCAACCCCTCCCCTCAGGAGGCAGGGACTCATTTGCTTTTGCTCACTGCCCTGCCTGGCACTGTTCTTGTAGAGGCTCAGGAAGATGCGGGAGGAACGAATATCTGTCTGCCCAATACTATCAGTATTGACTTAGAACTCATGGAAGCGAGTGGGGTGTGCGTGAGAGATTGGGTCCACGCAGGTCGTTCAGCTGTAATGCAGAAACGAACGGGTACCCGATCCAAAGCCCCGAGGCACCACTTGAAGACTCGCTTGTCTAAGAGCTGAGTGACAGCGCACTGTCCCAGCAGTCAGTGAGGCCGGTGAGAGTGTACCTGGGACATGGCCAGGATGCCCTCTGCGACACTGAGAAATGATTGTCACTGAGGAAAGGTTCTCTGAGGGGCCTCTGTGCTTTCCTTACTCCTTGTTTATGGCCACAGTTGGTCCAAGGCAGTGGTTGGCAAACTCATTAGTCAACAGAGCCAAATAGCAACAGTCCAATGATTGAAATTTCTTTTGAGAGCCATATTTCTTAAACTTCTTCTAACGCCACTTCTTCAAAATAGACTCGCCCAGCCCGTGGTATTTTGTGGAAGAGCCACATTCAAAGGGCTAAAGAGCCGCATGTGGCTCGCAAGCCACAGTTTGCCGACCACGGGTCTAAGTGATGAGCGTTAGAGACCAATTTGAAAGTATTTGCAGTTTACATTCCTTAATTTGCCAGCTCGGTTGTATTATGTGTTACCATCCATGTGTCTAAGATCCTAGGTTGAGATTGAGCATGCATTCCCAAGGTCACTGAGATGTAGGGTAAGTTTGGAAATAGCTCAGCTAACTCTTAAGTTCACGTGTTCATCATGGTCTGTGGTTTCTCTTTTCCCCTTTAGTGTTGCCTGGAACAGAGAGAATTGGAAGCAGTCATATCTGAGGACCGGGCAGAGATAACTCAGGATGCCCCCCGGAAGGAACCACGCGCCTGCCCATCAGAGCTGGTTGAAGACTGCCCCGGAAGGATTCAGTCACATGAAGTCCGCCTGGATCCCCGTGGGCTGTGCCTGGAAATGCAGCTGAGAAGATGAAGGACATTGGACAGCAGTTATTCAGTTCACAGGTACTCGATGGACATAACTCTCTGACCATGTCGCCTCGACAACCTCATGCTAACAGAGCCACTCGGCCGGACAGACAAGAAGCTCAGGCGGCTTTGTATCAAGGCTCCGAGGCCGAGGCCGCCGTGATGACCTCGGCCATGTGTGTGAAGTGCAAGACCATTCACCAGGTCCCTCTTCGGGATTTGAAAAAGGAGCCGGGGCAGAGCTACCAGGAGGACAGCTTCGTGTGCTTCCAGTGCAGCTTCGGCCTGGCTTCTCCCCACTTTCCCTTCGGGAGCAGCGATCCCAGCGCGACCCACGTAGACTCCGCCGCCAGTCCCGGCAATAACAAATTCAAGGTAAGGAACTTTAAACCGGGCAAGTACTATTGCGACAAGTGTCGCTTCTCCACGAAGGACCCTCTGCAGTATAGGAAGCACATGCTTCAGCACGAAGAGATCAAGTTCATCTGTTCTCACTGCAGCCACATCTCCTACACGAAGGGGGAGTTCCAGAGGCACCTGGTGAAGCACACGGGCATCTTCCCCTACCGGTGCGAGTACTGCGACTACGGCGCTATCCGGAACGACTACATCGTCAAGCACAGGAAGCGAGTCCACGAGAGGGCCGGCGGGAAGCGGCAGCCCAAGGCCGGGGCCAAGCTGGAGCCGAAAAGGACCAGCGTGTCAAGACAGAGCGCGGAGCTCTCCAAAGCCTCCGAGCCGGGCACCGCCCTGCCCAGCAGGCTGTCCGACCAGCTCTCCAGGTTCTCCCTCCAGACGAGCAAAGACCGGGTGCGCAGCATCATGCTCGTCCCCGAGCCGAAGGACCACCAGAAAGACGTGGTGTGCATTCCGAACGGAGGGACCCTGTCGGAGCCGAGCGAGGTCAGCGTGTTAGAGAACAAGAGCGTGGAGGTGGAGGTGCTGTCCCCAGCCTCGGAGCCCGTGCAGCCCGGGATGCCGCTGACTGTGGTGGCGCCAGCGGAGCTCGTGGTCCCCGCCAACTGCTTGGCCCAGCTGATCGACGTGAAGGTCGTCAACGGGACCCAGCAGCTCGTTCTGAAACTGTTCCCTTTGGAAGAAAATAACGGCCTAGAAGCTGGCGGGGGTGACGGAGGTCATGCTGAACGTAGGACTAAAGAGAAGGGTTCGGATGAACGAGGGAAAAGGCTCCCTGCGGAACCAACCAAGGCACTGACGACGGAAGGGGCTGCTGGAGAACCGGGCGGCCTTGATGGCCTTCAGTCAGCTCAGAAGCAAGTTAAGAATGTGAAATGGTCTTACGACGTGTTCATGTCAGATCCTAGTGTGCACCCCTGTGGAGAACCCCTTCTCAAGCCCGCTAGAGTTGAGGATTTGCAGAGAAAGAGTCATATGTATCCACACACAACTGCCCTTCCTCCCGTTGCCTTAGAAGGTCACTCTCCATCCTCTATAGCGAAAAACAGTGTTCTGTGTGGCCTTGGCACTGCCCCCAATCCTTTCCCATATAAAGCTGCTGTTTCTTTTACTGAAGACGGGAGCCATTTGCACAGGGACCCCCAGAAGCTCCTTCCTCTGGCTGCATCACCCACAGCCATTTCCTTCTCTGGAGAAAGGGGATTTTTGCCCGTCAGTAAAAATGACTTGGAATCTAGAAGCGAGATCAGTATTCCTGTGAGAATGGTTCCCTCTTCTAGGAAGCTGAAAGACAACCAGACAGAGGACTCTAAGGCAGTTTCAAATGCAGGCCAGATTTCCTCTCATCGTAAAAGTGAATATTTACACATAAACATAACAGGAGAAGACAGGATCAGATCTCAGCAGCCTGGGGATAAGCTTTTGGAGATAAAGAAATCTGAAAGGACTAATGACTCTTTCAGTGGCCCAGTCATTTCATCAGTATTTTCTCTGAGCTCCGGGTCTGAAGACGTCCCTGAGGGCGTTAAGTGGAACCACTCAACATCCAAAATAAAGTCAATGGAACTCCTGCGCAGAAGGATCGCTCAGTTAATCGAATCCTGTGGCAGGCCTCCCTCTCTGGCTGCCAGTAATGCACACCGTCGTTCCATAGGGCAAGCATCAAAGGGAATTTCCAAAGCTAGTCCTGAAGGTATTCAAGAAATTAACGTGGCATTTACTGGCCCTGGCTATGCCACACACACACTCTCCAAACCTCAGGACCATAGTGGTGTTAGTAGACAGCTTACCCGTCAGCACATATATCCACAGTTTGTAGAAGGCGGCAGTGGGAAAACCGAAAGCCAAGTCGCTAGGAAGGCTCATGTTGCGACTCCAGTGTTGATCCCCAAAGGAGCCGTGTTGAGGGTTCTTAATTCCTCTGAGGACGCCCACATTATAGAGGCTACATGCGAAGCCCCCGTCAGCATCCCGTACAGTGAGACACAGTTAAAACCCATTCCGTTCTGCCCCGTGAAGCAGACGGATTCAGACTTACAGCCTTCAACAAGCGAAAGTGGACCAATAGAAATGTCCCATAACCTCGACACATCTCTCAGGCCTAAACCAAGGAAGGAGAGTGCTGCCGGGAGCACCATCCTGAAAAAAGCTGGCCCCATGCATGGTCCGCCCGGAAGCAGAGAGTTGAGTAAGCAAGGAAAAGTGCCCTGGAGAAGTCTTCCTGTCAATAAAAATAAAACCAAGCAAGTACATTCATCCAAGAAGAAAAGCAAAATGCAGGCCGACCCTGGCCTCAGTCTCAAGGATCCTTCAATTTTCCAGGTTGCAAGACAGCTTCGACTGATAGCCGTGAAACCGGACCAGCTGATTAAATGCCCCCGTCGGAACCAGCCCGTCATTGTGCTGAACCATCCTGACGTTGACTCACCGGAAGTGACCAATGTGATGAAGGTAATAAACAAGTACAAAGGCAATGTCCTCAAGGTCGTCTTATCGGAGAGGACCAGGTGTCAGTTAGGCATCAGACGGCATCACGTTCGGCTGACCTACCAGAACGTGGAGGAAGCCAATCAAATCAAAAGGCAAATGATGTTGAAAATGAAACTTAAAAAAGTCCACAAAAACAACTACCAGGTGGTGGATTCCTTACCTGATGACTCACAGTGTACATTTAAGTGCTGGTTTTGCGGACGGCTGTACGAAGACCAGGAAGAGTGGATGAGTCACGGCCAACGGCATTTGATAGAAGCAACTAGAGATTGGGATGTTCTTTCTTCCAAGGGCAAATAAGTGAAAAATTGGTGTTTGAAGCAAATTTTTTTTTTTTTTTTTTTTTTTTTTTTTTGTTTATTCTGGTTAGGATTGGATTTGTTGTTTTTCCCATCCCTGACTCAGTAGGAGAAATAGAGATTATAGGAATGGAAGGTCCTATAATAGAAATTATAGGACCGTTCATTGTTCAGATCCCTTGTAGGAATGTTGAGAACCAGGTGACTGGTTTCTCCTAATGTATGTATGACTGGAATTCGGAAGGCATTTGAAAGAGTACGCACAAATTTATGTACATGCATTTTTTCTGGAGAGAAGTGAAACTTGCACCAAATTTTCAGTGGGATCTGAGACCTTTCTGTTTAGCAGCCCAGTTTCTGAGTGGAGACAAGCCTCTTGTCATCCAGGGAGAGGGTGAATTTAGAGTGTGTTACACATGCTCATATTCCAGAATGCTACTGATCAGTTAAACCCATGGTGGTGTGCTTATCCACTTTATCTTTGCATTAACTTGTCTCCTGAATATTTGGTACATAACGGAAATTATATTTTCTACTGTTATCTTAAATTTGGTTACAGAAAAGTAGCCATTCTTTTAAATCCCTCCCCCCCCCCCCCATCATCCTCATAAGAGTTCTTTACAGCACAGAACTGTGCTTTTTGGGACTGTTTGAAAGAATGATTGTCAAGTTTTGCCTGAATTTGCTCCTTCCACAGTGTGTGTTAGGGGAGAAAGGAAACATTTTCAAGCTTTTGCATTCTTTTTTGAACATCTCAACTTAGGACAATTATAGAGGGAATGTGCCTTTTTGCAAAATAAAATAGAAATGGTCACAAAGGGGAAATATCTCAAATTAAGTCTTTTGTTTGTCCTTACCCCTCTCATGAGCAAAGTAGCCGGTTAAAAATGTAGCTAGGCGGGCCTCTTACAGCATAGATCACACCTGGGAAGATAATGCAAGGTCAGATTGTGGAGGCAGCTGTGACTTTAAGATGACTGAGAACTAACTCTTTCACTTGGGAACTAACTCTCCATCCATCACACAGGGCTCACAGACACTGCCTTCCACCCCAGGCTGCAGCCTTCTCTCCTTTGCCATTTCTCTTACTCCACAGGGGCCTGTTCAGACAACTCCCCACTCACCGCCCATCCCTTTGCTTTTGTGCCTTTGAGGCCCCTTAAAAGCTGACCCTCGTGAAAATACTAAAAATGGGCATGAATCAACAAAATGCAAGTGTCCCATCATCTTTGTTAAGATTATAGGAATGCTATCCCGGGTCTTCATTGACAGGAACAGTGTGCTTCTAACTGACCGTTACCATGGTCATGCTTTCCCCATTGCTCCCCTCTCCATCGCCAGGTGTCAAGACCGGTGCTGAGCTGACAGCACCTTCGTGGGCATCAGAAACAGCCCGCCCTCTGCCGCTGGGGCTTCTTGGGCAATACTCAGTTGGCAGATGAAGCTTGAACTGCATCTTAACCCTTCCTTGCCCACTCCGCTGGGCCCCAGCCATCCTGCAGACGGCGAATGGCTCAGACACACGGCAGCCCGGCCCTTCAGTGGTTCTCCCGGTAGGCATTCAGGCCGGTGCTGCAGGGAATGCCACTGGGGCTGTCGCAGGTGAAGATGCGAGAGAGATTCCTGATGATTGGGTAGTCAGATGAATATTTCTTTTTCCCCACAGGGAAAGTCTTAGATTACCTCTGATTGGGGGGTGGAGGGGGTATTGCAGTTCTTCTGTGTCATTGTTTCTCATGACAGTAGTTAACATGTCTTATATGTAATTTGGGACATGATCCCTGAGTTTGTTCATTGGTTAATTTTTGTTGAAATTTGGATTGTTTATGTGTATATATATGTGTATGTACACATATCAGTATTTTTTACCATATGAAAACTAATGACTAATTTTCTGATTTCCTATTTTATAATGAAATTAGGTGGTTTGGAAAAATATAAAATGTTTTATATTCTAGAAATAACTTATTTTGGAAGTACCTTTTGATAATGGTCTGATCACACTCAGAGCAATGGAAGCACAGTGGAGAGTGGGTCGGATTCGTGGGAACAAACGAAGTGGCACCCCGGCGACCATTCCATCACAGGCCTCGGTCCGCGCATTTCCAGTCGGGGCGTTGAGCAGCGGAGCTGCCTGCCTCGCTGCGTGCAGAGACCAGGCGCAGGTTTGCCCGTGCGTGGGTCCAAGCCCCTCCGCCGTGAAAGGAGCCTCCCGAGGCACTCAAAGAAGAGAAGGCTGCGATTCTTCCTCCTCCTATACCTCACTACACAGTCGCGTCTTTCTGGAAGCGCAGACTGGCCTTTCGGGAGAGAGAGCCATGAATTGGGTCAGTGTTAAGTGTCAACATGAAGTATTCACACTTTGCAGCATCAGCCCTTTGGCAAGTATTACCTAAAGCAGCTTACACCCCTGTACAGAGCTCCCTTCCGTGAGGGGGTTCAGAATCAGAAAGGCTCCTGGGAGTCGTAAAAAGTGAGGCCGAAAGGCTGGCTGTCCTCCCCATGTGAAGAGCCTGAGGAAGTAGCTCGTTAGTGTGTAGGTAAGTGTCATGAAATGCACTGTCCTGTCATTTCTAACGAGATTGGAGCAGGGAGCAGAACTGGGCTGAGGATTTGTGTGCTCTTTCTTGCCATGATTTTGAAGGACCTTTCACGAAACTTGACTCATAGTACTTACCAAGGACATCATTTTACCCTTCTTGTTAACCCATTTTCTTTTGGGGGGCAGAGATGAGATGATCTTATATTTATGATATGACAGAGAAAGTTGTTCGTTTTTTCTAATGACTTCATAGATTCTATTTTACTCACATTCCCACCCCACCCCCCCCAGCCCCAAACAATGTTGTGAGCCCCTGTTCTGGGCCAGGTGCTGTTGAACTAAATGGAACGCAATGTATTACCCCTCGAAAGCCCCTGCCTCCTGCTCTGGGACCCCCTGTAGAAGCCGTCCCCAGACGTGAAGGGGTGACGCTGCCCTGCCTGTCGAAGACGGCGTGAACCTGTGAGCATCAACGTGAGAAAAAAGAAAACCTTGCCTAGCCCGTTCCAAGCACCTAGAGGTTCTGTGTTCACAGTGTGTGCTGCTGCGCTTCGGAAACGTTTATATAGAGATTTAGAAGTTGGAGTAAATTTTGTTAAATAAAGCAACTGTCAACATTTCTCTGCCCTTTCATTTCAAATGTTTCTTCCTTGCACAGCCTGCCTGCGCGCAGTACATTTCTGACCCAAGTGCAGTCCAGGCAGCATCACCGTACACAGCGCAGGGACCGTGCTTCCCCCCGGGGTCTGTTCTGCATTCCATGTCCTGCTGGTTAGCTATGCACCCTGAGAGGAGGCCAAGTGACTTGTTTTTATTAAATATGTTTTTATTGATTTCAGAGAAGGGAGAGAGAGAGAGAAACATCAATGAGAGAGAATCATTGATTGGCTGCCTCCTGCACATCCCCTACTGGGGACTGAGCCTGCAACCCAGGCATGTGCCCTTGACTGGAATCAATCCTGGGACCCTTCAGTCGGCAGGCCGATGCTCTATCCACTGAGCCACACCAGCTAGGAACCCGTGTATGTTTTTGTTTTGCTCTGGCTGAAATCGGCAAGGTGCTGATGTGGGCAGCAGTGTTAATCTTCCCACCATGGTCAGTGGCCTCCTGGGAGAATGTACAGCCACTTAACCTGCACAGCTCTCCGCGGGGAGGGTTCCTGGGTGGGAGTGCTAACGCCACTGAGAAGCCTCGGGACCACACTTCCATGGGGAGAAGGGGTGTGAGGATGTTTGGGGAGGGCTTCATTCCCTCTCTCTCCCAGCATCCAAGCAGGTCAAAAGGGAAAAGAGACTTGAACTTGCTTTGACCCTGAGGTGGACAAAGAGGAGATGGCAGTTGCTTCAGGGCAGCAGTTTGGTTGATGGTTATCCCAATTGCAGAGCTTATTGTCCTCTAACCCTCCAGAAGGAGGCTCCTAAGTTGCCCCTGGTTATTTAGGGGCCAGGAGAGATCAACAGGCAGTGAAGGTCTGAAGGGGGTGTGTAAGCCTGGGCCACCAGGACGACTACCAGGGAACAGAAGCGGGGACTTGGGCAGAAACTGACTTCCAAGGCCATAGAGTTAGGAAGGGGCAGTCATTCATTCACATTTTATCGGTGAGAAAACTGCTGCTCAGAAAGGTTACAGATGCCCATTCACAGGCTGAGGGGCAGAGGAGCAGGAAGCACCCGGAACCCCTCCTTCTGTAGCGCTGTTTTGCAACAGACAGAGCCTTCTGCGGCCTCAGGCTCTCAGCGTGACTTGCCTTAAGGCTGCAGCTGGTATCAGGCATGCTGGTTGGGCCCAGATGCCTTGGTGAGGATTTTGGACTCAGTCTGGCGCAGTGCAGTCCAATAGAGAGGATGTGAGCCGTGTCTGTCATCTTCACTTTTTCAGTAATGACATTCCAAAGCATAGAAAGAGATGAAATTAAATATATGTGACCCAAGACATCTACAGTATTATTGACATGTTTTTATGGGGGAAATGGTGTCATTTATGTCTGTGTCTCTAAAACTGGGGCAGACTAGGTTTCACTAACTCTTGTTTAGGGAATGCCAAGTCTGCATTCGTCTTCTCATTCCCAGCAGTTCTAGTTCTAGGTCTGTCCCCTGGAGAGCCGTTACACCTGCGACTTTGAGACTATTTTGCAACAATCTTAGTTGGTCAGCCAAATGTTTACTTCTCATTCACAAGGCATGTGCACAGTCTGGCAGGGAGCGCCTCTGACGCAGGGAAGGGGTGTCTTATAGCTGAGCCATCTGAACACCTGGGCTTCATCACCCCAGCAGAGAAGGAGCAGGAGGAGGGGACGTTGCACAGGTGGAGAAACAACCCAGTGTCCAAAGAGGCCACAGCCGTCCAAGGGGCTCTGCAGCCCGTCCGTGTGCAGAGGAAAGGGCAGCAAATGGACCACTGATGACCGCTGACCGCATTCACGGCGATGCTGGGAGTGTGAATGTAGTCACCTGCGTGGAAAGCAGCTCGCCAGCCTGGTGGCTGGGAAATAAGACCGTCGTCCGAGAGCCAGTGAAGATACGGAGAAACAGAAACGTCAATATACTATTTGGCAATAAATATTGAACCTGCCGAAACCGGTTTGGCTCAGTGGATAGAGCGTCGGCCTGTGGACTGAAGGATTCTGGGTTTGATTCTGGTCAAGGGCATGTACCTTGGTTGCAGGCACATCTCCAGTAGGGGGTGTGCAGGAGGCAGCAGATTGATGTCTCTCTCTCATTGATGTTTCTAATTTTCTATCCCTCTCCCTTCCTCTCTGTAAAAAAAACAATATATTTTTTAAAATATATATTGAACCAGGATGAAGCACTGTATTATTTCCATTTCATTCCCCGATTCCTAGTGGGATGGTGTACTTTTGCACATTGGACATTTTCATTTTCTGTGCATGGCTGCTGGTATTTTGTACATTACTATTGAACTACTTATTTTAAACTTTAGGTTTTGGGGCTTTTTGTGCTTTATTTTCGAAATCCTTCCCTACATCTAGGTCACAAAGAGATCCTTTTATGTTAAATTTTGTATTAAAAATGAACTTCCATAGAACAGTGGGCGCCATCATAAAACACAAGCTGTCAGTTATAGGCGTTTCAAAAAGATTTCTGGGTCCAAAGTTGTTTAATATGAAAAATACCTAAATCATATTAGATGTATATCCTCACAGTCAGCCCAGGAGTTCACTCGGTTGTGCTAACACCCATTTGTGGAGAGTCCATGCTTTTCTCCCTGGTTCCGGCTTCCATGTGTGAGTAGACCTATGGCTGAGTCTCTGTGCTGCTGAGCTAGGCTGTTTATTATGATTCTTCTTCAAACTTCATTCTTTATTAAATTGTTGATGATATTACACCTGTTGCCCACTTTTCCCTCTTCACCCCCCTGTACCCTGCCCCAACCCAGGCCTCACCACACTGTTGTCTGTGTCCATGCATATATGTTCTTATGCATATATGTTCTTCAGATAATCTCTTCCTGTCTCCCCCTCCCTCCCTTTCCTCTGAAGTCTGTCAATCTCTGGACCTATTTTGTTCAGTTTATTTTGTTCATTAGATTGCACATATAAGTGAGATCATGTGATACTTATCTCTCTCTGGTTTATTTCTCTTAGCATAATACTCTCCAGGTCCATCCATGCTGTCACAAAGGGTAAGAGATCCTTCTTTTTTACAGCTGCATAATATTACATTGTGTAAATGTACCACAGCTTTTTATCCACTCCTCTACCGATGGGCACTTGAGCTGTTTCCAGATCTTAGCTACTGTAAATTGTGCTGCTATAAGCATAGGGTGCATAAATTCTTTCTGATTGGTGTTTTGGGATTCTTAGGATATATTCCCAGAAGAGGGATTACTAAAAAGTCAAAAGGCAGTTCCATTCTTTCTTCCTTTCTTCCATTCATCCTTTCTTTTTGGAAACTCCATACTGTTCTCCATAGTAGCTGCACCAATCTGCATTCCTACCAGCAGTGTACCCAGATTCCCTTTTCTCTGCATCCTTGCCAGCACTTGCTGTCTGTTGCTTTGCTGATGGTAGCCATTCTGACAGGTGTGAGTTGGTACTTTATTGTTTTAATTTGCGTCTTTCTAGTGATCAGCGACATTGAGCACTTTTTCATGTGCCTGCTGGCCATCTGAATGTCCACTTTGGAGAAGTGTCTATTCAGGTCTTTTGCCCACTTATAAATTGGATTGTCTTGCTGGTGTTGGGTTGTATGAGTTCTTTGTATCTCCTGGAGTGACCAAACAATGACAAAACTGGCATTCCTTAAACTTATATCGATAGAATGCCAGCCTCAGACCAAAAACGTACCCGTAGTTTTCTCTACATGCCAGACTGCCCAGTCCATGGTTGGGCTGAGATTTGCTCTGTAAGCTGCATGCACAAATCCCTTTCCCCTGAGAAGCAGCAGTTGTGTCTAGAAGTCTTGTCAGAACATGCTCTGCAGCTCAAGGTGCTCCTGCCCAGAAAGACCTGAAGGTGAACTCTTCCCACCCGAGACCTACGAACAAGCTGATTGGGCCATTTGGGCTGACTGAACCCTCGGCACAGCAGTTAGCATCCAACCCATAGGGGCATCAATCCCTCAAAAGAAACAGTACCCCAGTAAAAAGGAAGCTTTAGAGGGAATTCAACCAGTATTGCAGAGATTCTTAAAATCAGGATTAATTCATTCAGGCCAGTCTCTTTCTAACACTCCCATTTTGCCAGTCAAGAAGCTCCCATCAGATTAATACCAATGTGTACAGGTTCTCAGGGTCATAAATGACGTTGTCCAGGACATCATCCTACAGCGCCCAACCCTCGTAGTTTGTTGACCACGAGGCCCGGGGACGGCAAATACTTTTCAGTCCTAGACATAAAGGATGCTTTTTTCTGTGTCCCAATAGATGAACAGGCTCAACTATTTGCCTTTGAATGGCAGGACCCAGAACTAAAGCCTCGCTCCAATGCAGTTGGACAGTGTTGCCCATGGCTTTAGGATTCCCCTACCACAATGAAGGACTTGTATGCATGCATTTAAGCATAACCAATGGATGCAAGACACTGGGGGGTGAGGGCATGTATGAGAGTGGGGGATAGTGCAATGGGAAGAAGTGTACACATGTAATACCTTAATAAAAAAAATTGGGGGGAGGATTTCCCTCCATATTTGGGAAATATTAATAGAAGATTTAAGGGATATTCAATTGAAATCGGGAATCCTTGAATGGACAAGAGACTGCAAGGTAGCATTTGACACCTTGAGGGGAAAACTCATTTTTGCTCCCAACTAGGATTGCCCAATTTACAGAAATCTTTCAAATTATACATTCATGAAAGGCAAGGACTTGGACCTGGGATGCTAATCCAGACCCTGGGAAATACCCCGCAACCCATAGCCTCTCTCTCTCAAAGAAACGAGATCATAGGACCAAAGAATGGCTCCATGCTTCTGGGCAATAGTAGCTAGCTGCCTGAGGTTTCTTACAGGAAACAGAGAAATGCACTCTGGGGCAACTTGCTTCAGTGTTTGTACCACTCTGATTCGCAACCCTATCGGAACAGAAAGGAGGGCATCAGCTGGCAGCAGGGCACATGGGAAAACATCAGGCCGCTCTATTAGACAACCCAAATGTTACCT